AGGAATGATATGAGAGTATGTTATATTAATTAAGTCTTTAATAAATACAAATTTTATGAGCATCATTTGTCATTGCTACTTAGGTAAATTCAGTGTCTAGAAAAGGAGAATAACTGATTTTTAAAATACAATTGTGTTGTTAACAAATGAAGTGTCAAACATTCAAAATATAAAATATACCAAACTATTTTTGACTTTAAGGGCTCATTGATTACTGAAAACTACACATCAGGAAAAAGAGAATGTAAATAAAATGTTTTTAAATGACATAATGTGCACTCAAAAAGAATGTAGATATAATTGTAACTAGAGATAAATTAGCGACAACAAATGTGCCAGTTAAGTATAAAGACAAGTTGCAAAAACAAAAATTATGTAAATGATAGTATTTGAATTAGGTCATGTAGGAAAGCACAGACATAAGATAAACAACAAATGGTCCCATAATTAAATGTGTTTTGAAGGAAAATCTCTACTGAGTTAAAGAATGGTTTCTGCGAAACCGAAGAACATAGTTATTAGTTAGTTCTACATGTGCAATTCCAAAGGTCTAGATGATGCTAGAAGGATTCATCTATGTACATTTATATGCAAATGTATTGATGTGTATCTATATCTTAATTTCAACTTTTGGGGGGAGGGTAGATTTTTTGTTGTGTCCCTCTCATTTTTAAGGAAACTTAATTCTCCCAAACTCCCTTTCACAGAGTAAAACTTACCCAGAATCGGTGTTGTAAAATCAATTGTATTTAACAACAATTATATTTAACAAACTCCATTAGTGGTCGATCCGTGTTCCACACTGTGGTGACTTGCATGCGGATCTCACACGCCAGGAAGATCACTTTTCATGGACAGGTTTCAGTGGGGCTTCCAGACAAAGACAGACTAAGAAGGGACACCTAGTGAGTTTTTTTCTCAAACAAATAACAGCAAAACACTTGCCACTGAAAATTTGCTGAATAGCAGTTATGCACTGCTAGAAGATGCACCCCTCAGATTGAAAGAGACTCAATACATACTTGAGGAAGTGTGTTAACTCCCAAATTAGAGTTAACACAACTCATGCTCATAGAAGTTATTCCGAGAGAAAGACGGACGAAAGCTTTTGGAGCTTCCATGGGCGGATGTGACCCAACTCACAGGAGGAGGAGCAGGTGTCCATATCCGTGGGTAATAGGGATGTGGACTGTGTGACGCGCAAAACTGGAAAAGTGGACATAAAGAGTAAAAGGAACTGCAAAAGACCTTTTCAAAGTGCTAGAAAGCAAAGCTGTCACTTTGAAGACTGAATGCTTCCGGTCAAAGCCATAGGCTTTTCCATCCCCTCATAGACGCATGCGCAAGCTAGACAATGACTAAGGAACAACCAGACAGGAGACGTAGAAACCATCCTATCTCCTATGCTAGAGACGGTAATGCATAATGCAGATGCTTGCGAGAACAGATGAGTAATGCATGCAGAGAAATACAATCCTTAAAAAGTAAACAAAAGAAAATGCTAAAATATTGAATAGAAATATTTCAAGTGGTAAAGAATATATTTGGTGGACTCATTAGTAAGTTAGACATTACCGAGAAGATGGTTTTGTATGCTTAAATATATGTACAAACTTTTCCAAACTAAGGAGCCAAAAAAAAAGAAATAGGATTTCTAAAAATTGTGGAACTAATACATACTTTGTCATCGGAAGATACACAGGGATAAGATAGAAAGGAACAAAAGAAAGATTTGAAGTTAAAATGACTAAAAACTTTCCTAGATAGCTCAAAAGACCACCAGTAATAATATATATAAACAAATATATCCATGTACCTATATGTATATCATATTCAAACTTCAAAGAGAAAGAGAATTTCTTGAAAGAAGGTAGTGAGGGGAGAAGAAACTCTTTTCATATAGAGGAATATGAATATTAATTAAATCAGACTTTTATTCAGAAGTCATGCAAGCAAGGGGAAAATACAACATAGTATTCAAAGTTTAAAAGAAATAACAACAAAGTAAAATCTGCATCTGGTAAAACTACACTTCAAAATTGAAGGGCACTCAGACAATGATTAGGGAATTTGTCCTCAGTAGATATGCCTCATTTTAGAAGAAATTCTTCCAAGAAAAGAAAAACAATAGAGTTCAAAAAACTTAAATCCACATTTTAGAAAAAGAGTGTTAGAAAAATAATGAAACAAGGAGACTGTATGCTTTGGGGACTGAGATGTCAATCACAAGTATAAAACTAATGAGCATTTTGAAGCTAACATTATAGTAGGGCATTTTCAACTAATCAAATACTTTCATGGCCCTGATCAATATTTAGAAAATGGAAGGTTTAATTAAAATACAATATTATCAATCAAAGATAAAAAGGTACCCCTCGTGTAGAAATTTACTGCTAGCATCACCACTCTTTTTCAAGGTTAATATGAAAGATTCAGTACTTCACTTAGTACTTAATCTCATAAGAGATGAGAAAATTAAGGCTCACGGAGATAATGGGACTTTTCCAACATCAAAAAGCAAATTAGTGGTTGAGATGAACCCTCATCCAGAAATATTTCTTCTAAAGTGGCACTCTTAAAGACCATGGTATTGAACAGAAACTGTGAGATAAGTTCTATTTATACAATATCATTTACTTCTCACAGTTATTCTTTTCTATAGACATAATGATAGCCATTTAACAAAAAAAAGAAACTGGTTTCTCAAAGGTATCATGAAACTTTTCCAAAGAAACACAGTTAAGATATTACCATAAGGTTAAAATTAGAATCTCAATATATTTGATGCTGTATCTAGTGTGAAAAAGATAATGATGCATATTTATATAATGAGATAAAATAAAAATCAGATTCCTAAATAATAATGGAAATACATCTGATTATTCAAAAACAACCCCAAAACTATTTGTTTTTAAATATTACTACTGTTAGAAAACAAAAACAAAACTGTCTGCATTGGCTCAGAATGATATTATTTTTGCATTTGTTGTTGTTCCTAGGCAACTTCAACCCTACTTTTTTAAATTATGAGGATTCAATCTTTCACTAACCTTATTAAAGCGCTTTCTGGAGGGGCAGTAGTTAACTAATTAGCTATTAACTAAAAGGTCATTCCTACAAACCCCCGCTACTCAGCGGGAGATGGGTGTAGTAACTGTCTTCACAAAGATTTACAGAATTGAAAATGCTATGGAACCGCTCTACTCTATTCTACAGTGCAGCTTTGAGTAGAAATTGATCCTATGTCAATGGACTGTTTTACCCCACTTAGCCTCTTTAGAATTAATTAATTTACTTTTAATTTCATCAATACTTGTTCCTTCTCTTCCAGAAAATACATAAACCGAAAATCCTCAGTGCCATGCCTCTGAGCCCACATGAACTAAACTCACAGCAACCCTACAGAGAAGAATGGAAATGTTCCATCAGATTTCCATGACTGTCAATCTTGACAGAAGTGAGGGCTTCTTCTTTCTCCAGAGTGCCGAGTGGGTTCAAACCCGTGATAGTTCTGGTTAGCAGGCCCTACAGTTGTGCCCCTAGAGCTCCTGGAACTTACAAAGGCTAGTATAAATGATCTCCAGGGTGGTCAGATGCCCTTGCCAGTATAAATGATCTCCAGGGTGGTCAGATGCCCTTAGATCCGGAATTGAAATGGCTTGTTTCATCATTGTTTTGGTCATAGAGGATCCCAAGCGCAGGTATGCAATAAATCTATGACTTTCAAAGTGGAGCCAGATAGCCGTGCATTTTTCTGGACAAACATTGCTAGGATTCTATTCATAACACGTTTGGCATTTGTATACTACAACTTATAAAAAGAGGGGAAAGAAAATCATAAGCACAACTAAGTGGATGATATTGCCCTATACACCATCAAAAACTCAACCTCGATTCCACCAATCAATGCTATAAGAACAAAGAAAGTCTGAGTAAAGTGCGGAATACTTTGGTAATGTGGACATCATCACGCGATTCCAAAATTGTAATGAAAAATCTAGTACTTCATTTCTGATGATAATATTCTCTTAAGTTGCATATCTGGGAGCTGATTTGTATCGGACCAAAGGAGACTATACACGTAGTATCTGGTTATAAGAAATTAAAATAGAAGAATCAGCTTATTTTATATGTCAGCAGAAACATTTAGTCAACATGTGATCCAGCAATCTTGATAGGAAAAAAAAATTCTACGTTCTTCTTCCATAATACTGAGTCATCCAGTCATAGATACTGAGAACAGCTAAAGCAAACCCTTTACCATCTGACACAAGGCTAGAAAGCTAGGAAATGTAAGCTTCTCTCTCATAATTCACTACTCACTGAACATCCTTTGCCCATCCATCCATAAACACAACTTAACCTGAGTTGAATCCAGCTGAATCTTAGATCCAAAATCTTTAGACTACAGAGAAGTGACTTCTAGGACTTGTGATCAAGGGAGATGTGAAGGCCAATGTAGAACAGATCATCAGGTGGACCAGATGCACTGAAATGAAATGTCCTTTGCTGTCTTTTTTTTATTCATTACTGTCCCAAAAGTTCAATGGTTAAAACAAAAATACCCCATTTATGAAATTATGTTAATAAACTACACAACTGATATTATTATTTTGTACCTACTTTAGTTGTTATTGGACTCATGCTATGTTTAGCTTTATGCATATTTTTCAGAGCTGACTTTTCTTTATGCTCTAGTAATATCCCATTTTATGTAATACAATATGAAGGCACTTGAAGGTTACTGAATGTATTCATTTTAAAAAATTAAAAACAATCCTGTTTTCATTTTATATTGTTGTTCACCTGTGTGCTTGACTATAAATTCCAACTGAGCAAAATAATCTCAGAATTTTATTATTTTTTTAATTAACATTTTAAAAGTATTGCAGAATAAAGTGTTTTATGGGCAGTATATATTTTCATTTTTAAAATAACATATAATAAACAATAAAGCATGTCATAAAGAAATAGTATATTATGAGAACAATCTTACTTACCAAACTCTTTAGGAACTGCTATAGAATACACACAATTATGTCCCACACTGTAGTTTTTGGGATAGTTTGGGGATAAAACGGTGCCTTCAGAACCTGTTGAACGACTTCCACAAGGTGCTAGAAAACAAAAAAATGATAAATATTTTTATAAAATTCCAAAAGCATAATATTAATGTCTTATTGATATACTTAGAAAATATGGCCACCGGAAATTGATTAGATCTTTTAAGATGATGCCAAAATATCTAATATTTTTTAAAATATAAAGGAAGGGGCTTAGATATGCTTTCTTAATGTACACTTACCTTTATATAAAACGCTCTGTTACAGTCGTATGAGTCTCTGTGGATTTGGTTCTCTAGTCTACCCAGACTAACACATTGTGGTACCTGGAGTGGTACCAAACACATCATAAGATGGAGAGTGGATGCTTGTTTGACCTCTCCCTCAGGGTAGTTTTTCTTCTTTGGCTAGCCAGAGATCAGATAAAGCTGCCACACTGTTTACTCAGTTGTTTTCAGGGAAAAATATGGAAAGTTAAACTTGATTGTTTTCTTTAGTTGTAGTCTTTGGAAATTCCTGTTTAAATGGTGAAAATGAATGTGATTAACGTATATTTTGAGCTCAGGGGTAGAAATTGCAATTTGAAATTCTCAGAAACCATGCTGCTTAAGGCAAATGGCTGACAAAAGGTCAAAATGCCTGACAGAAAGCCTGGATCTGGCTTAATGCTTTCAGAGAACTAATCCAATATTTTTGTATAAATAGAATAGTTTAGGTAAGAATTTAGACAAGCTAAATAAGGGTTGAACTTGACTCTTTTAAGAACTGAGTTTAATAAAGTTAATTCTACTTTGTCTATACTGATTTCTTTTGCTTATTATTGATATAATGGTTTATAAAAATGATTTTGGGGAGTAGAAAATAGAAGGCTTGTAAGCCCACTTGCTTTCAGCCATTAAAATTTGACCTTTAGATAGGTTTAGGACACACCCAGAAAGAAGGCTCCAAAAAGATTAGCCCCACCCAGTGCTTTGGAGTACTCAAGACATTAAAAGGTAAAGAGATATGCCTGGGGGCTGTTGACAGATTGAAGGAAAAAGGAACTCTTTGGATTTGGAGTTTGCACTGTAGTGGTCTTTGTCTGAAACTGGAAAACATATGGACCCATGAACAAAACTCTTCTCTAGGACTGAAGAGTTAGAGGGAGCCTGTGGGCAGGCTGGAATGCTTGCTAGGTAACCACCTGGATCTACTTGTTCAGTGGAAGTGGGAGAAATGCAGCAATAAAGCAATGGGTTGAGTCTGGTCACTGACACATGTGGACTTGGTTTACAGGAAAAAGAGGAGAAGACAAGAGCAGGTTGATTGGTCTAAAGTTCATGACCTAGCATGAGGGTGTTAGGCTTGTAGAGGTATTTGTGAGAGCCCATGGTCTAAAAGTAAGATGATCAATGGGCACTCTGGGGAAGCTAAGTGAGGCAGCCCACATTGAGTTGACCAGAACTCAACCAGATGAAGAGATTTTTGAGACTGTGAACTGGTGCGTATTGTTGCTAACTTTATGGATGGCCTGTCCTGATTTGACTTTGCTTATGGATGTGGACTTCACAAGGTTCCAACTGGAATTAAGATTTGTCACATCTAAAAATATGATTGTCTCTTCAGAGCACGGGGTTGATGTAAGTGGGCAGTTTAGAAATTGGATACCCAAAATTGGGGGGATAAAGGCATGAAGAAGTTGGCTTACAAACTTTCATAAATAGGGGAATATATTCACAGGATTATAGGATTAAGGTGTAAGTGCTACTTAACTGCAATTGTTAGACTAAAGAATTGTGTATAGGTGCCAAGTTGGCAAGGGGTGGATTGAGATAGTTAAGATTTATTGTGCCAATGTGGCTGATAAACACATGTGGGGTTAATTGAAGGGCAGAGAGATAAAATGGCTCGGTAAGCCTCACCTTTCTTGCTCTTGGGTCTCTTGCTTTCTGATGTTCACACCAGGGTGCAGCTGCCTTAGCTAGTTTCCTGCTCCCGCTGGCAAGGCTCACTTCCTTTGAGACATCCCTGAGGAGAAGCTACATGGACCTACCCTGATGCAACCCTGGGTGCTGGAGCAGCTGTGTGGAGACCTCTGCTGAGATGCTTACACATTCACTGATTCGGGTTTCCTACAGTCAGCATCATTGCATGTGTTTTGTGAGATCAGGAGGACTTTGTAGAAGGGTGTCAGACATATGGGCTAATGTTGGACTTATAGGCTTGGACAGCATTGGGTTGGGATGCTTTCTTAATTTTCACTTAACTTTTATATAAAACTATCTCTTATAGACATAAGAATTTCTGTGGATTTGTTTCTCTAGTCTACCCAGGTTAACACAGGTACAATATACGCTTCTCAATGCCTGAGTAATATAATATCATAATGTTGTAATAATGCTATCTCTAAAGGTAAAAATGGTGGTGTTGCTTTCATTTATAACAGTATAAAGTTAATCATCTCTTTTATCATGATAAGGAATTGCATATGCAAATGAGAAATTATTTTATGCCCAGCCAGGCTTTGAAACTCTACTCAAATTCAACACTTATCACGCTGCTGCCAAATTAAGCATATCTAGACATGGCACAGGGATAGCTCTACAAATATATTCATCCACTCATCTAACAAATTTACTATCTCACTAAGCTTTGTTTTTAAAATTTACCATGAAACAAAGAAGCTGTTAATTGTTTAAAGAAGCAGACCTGTTTTGGCCATTTTTAACCTACATGTGCTATAATCATAAAGAACTGGGACCTATTATAATGTTTCTGGTATATGAGCATATGGTGCTCTGGTAGTCACCAGATTGGGTTTGAATGAAGATTCATAGTGTTGGAACTCAGATGTAAGTATCAAAACAAATACTACTAGTTTTTATGAGGTCAGCTATAACTCATAGAAATACTGCTGTCAGAGAAGAACTAAAATAAATTGGGTTTTCAATGGCTGTTTTGGGAATTATATAATAGGTCTTCCTTCCGAGGTGCTGGTGGGTGGACTTAACCCTCTAAACCTCTGGTCAGTAGCCAAGCTCATGAACTACAACATCACCTCAGAACTCCACCAAAACACATGTTGTTTAATGCCACAAAGTAGATTCCAGACAGATCAACTCCATGTGACAGACTAGAACTGTCCCATAGGGTTTTCTTGGCTCTGATATTTATGAGAGAAGATTGCCAGGTTTTCTCCCAGAGTTTCTAGGCGGGATTGAACCATCAACCTTTCAGGTAGCAGCAATCATTTTATGTATTTCCTCACCAAGGTTTCATTGATGATGGTAAATATTCTTATAGTTAAAATGATAGCAAATATCCCTAAACAGAGTGAGATGGCCCCAAAGTATATGTAAATGAGAAAAGACAGCCCAGGAGGCATCCCTCATTATTAAGGAATGGATTGTACCCTCCACAAAATATATATCAAGTGGACTGGGTTTGGAAATTCTGGAAGAATGTAATGTAGCTATCATGTAACAATGCAATCATGTCCTATGATATCAAATAGTTAATTTGTATTCCAATGTTTTTATTCAGGTCAGAGCAATGATCTTATATAAGGGGAGCTTCACTAAGGTGTCACTTACTCATTACAAGATATAAAAGAAGAGAAAGGAACACAGGAGAGAGACTTAATATCATCAAGAAAAAAAGAGCCAGGAGAAGAGTACTTTTTAAATTATTATTTCAAAAAACAAAAACAGAAATAAGCTCTGCTGGGTGGAGCTTTCATAGTATGCATTTTTCCCTCTAGGGGGCTTCAAGCAACTCACTTTGGATTAGCACACCCAATGGAAATGCCTGGGAAGGTTCTCTGTAGTCACAGTGAATTTTTTCATAAAATAAATTTTTCTTGAACCCTATTTTTCTGTGATGGCTGATTTAAGAGAACATCATGTGGGTATGAAATTTTGTTTCCTGCTTGGGGTAAAATGCCACAGAAATTGTGATGTTGCACGCAGCTTAAAAAGACAGCACTATGGAAAAAACTCAACTGATGAGAGTTTTCTCATTTCAAAAAAGTGGGATGTCTGAATGTCAGTTGATGACAACCTCATTCTGGATGTCCACCAACTTCCCAAACAGACCGAAATGTGGACAAAATCCATGTACTTGTGCTAAAAGAGTGATAATGGACCATGGAAGAGATGTGGAAGTTATCTGGATGATCTTTGAACTTGGGTCAGTGAATTTTAACCGAAGATTTGGGAATGAAAAGGGTCACTGTGAAATTGGTGCCTTTGGTTCTGACTGACCAGGAAAAAAGAGCATCAACTGGAAACATGCTCTGCTTTGAAAAAACAGCTCTGAAGCAACCCAGACTATTTTCCCCAAGGCCATTACCAGTGCTATTCTTATGACCCTGAAAGCAAACATCAATCAAGCCAGTAAAAGGCACCGTGATCACCTCACCCAACAAAAGCACGTCAAGTGAAATCAAAGATCAAGAGATGCTCTTTTTTTTGGTTTTTATGTGAGAGGAATAGTGCATTTGGAGTTCATTCCACCAGGTCATTCCACCAGGTTAATCAACCTTTATATTTAGAAGCTCTGAAAAGATGTGTAACAGTGTGTGACAAAAAAGGCCTGATTTGTGACAGACAGGAATGCTTTTGCCACCACAACAATGCATCTGTTCATGCAGCCATCTCAGTGTGCCAGTTTTGGGCAAAACCAGCATGCCTCTCTTGTCCCACACACCTGACTCACCTGACCTCACTCTGTGCAACTTCTTTGTGCGTGTGCGAATGAAGAGGGTCCTGAAAGGACAGCAATTTGATGATGTAGTAGAGGTGAAGAAAAAACAGGGAGGTGCTGTCAGCCACGCAAACAGATGAGTTTGAAAACTGTCTCCAAAAGGGAATCACATATTTGAAAAATGTATTAAGTGTAATGAAGAGTATTTTGAAGGTGATAAGTTTGTTTTGTAAAATAAATAAAGACAAAGCTTGGGGGGGGGAATGTGCCACTTTTGGGGAGCACCTCTTTATTCATCTTCTGGACCCAAAGTCCCTGGTTCGGAACATCCTAGAAGTATGCTACGCAGACAGAAAGAGCCATCTGCTAGA